CCAAAGTAAGGTTTTCTTTTCCTTGAAGGGGCACTGAAATAATTCTAGATGATGTCAAAAAGCACAAAAAACATTAAAAACATGTGTAAGTTGGTAATAAACACCTATTTTCTAACAGTGGGGTTTTGTAAGGGGACAATCATTCCTGGAAACCACACACTGAAAAGATTGAAAACAAACAATAAATATAATCTAATATTTGTTTACCAAATCTTATTGGTGTAGTCTTTGACTACCCTAGCTTTTAAAATAGGGCAGTTTTATTATACTGACATGCTTGAAAAACCAGGTAAGCATAGGAATCTTCTTCAAGATTTTAAAAATGGGATAACGCTGGTCAACATTTGATACATGAATATAATACAACCATTGAATATCTTCTCAGATGTCCTGAAAACTTGGAAGTTATCTGTTTAGTATGAAATGTCATTTTAAAAAGTTATGCACAAAAGGGGCATTTTTAGGGACAGCAAAGTGCAATTCTCTGTGTTCAAACTACAATATTACAACACAGCTGGCTTTTGATGTTACTCCAAGTAAATCATCCTTCAAGCTGCAGAGTATATAAGGCCATAAAACATGATTAGAGTTTTATATGACAGAAATCCTAGTCAGTGTTTCTTTTAATAAAATGGCTTATCAGCAATTCTCAGACTCAGTCTAATCATCCAAGAAAAAGTAGTTTCCACTGTTCATTTGTTCTACATCCTTAATTGAATTGAGTTTATATATTCATATTCTATAGTTATTTGAATTTATTCTGAGTGTAATTTCTAGATGAGACAAAAATTTGTTCATGCCAGTCAAAGGACTGTTGGCTATTTGTAATTGTGTTCTTAGATGGAACACCATCAAAAACCAGGACTTCATCAGCTAGATAGGTGACCATGATGAAGTCGTGTTTCACAACAAAGCCTGTTTTCTTTGCATGGAGTATGAAATGTTTCACAACCCAAGCTGCCATCAATCTTTGCTCTGAGTCCAAATAAGCAGATGTCAATAAAATAGACATAGCAGGTTTGGCCTAACGCAAAGTTAAAGTTACTTGCTGCAGTTCACCACCAGATAATGTCTGAACCTCTTGATGAATGATATTTTCAATTTGCAAAGTCTTCATTACATCAGTCACAAATTGTAGATTAGTATACGTATCTCGTAGCTTTTCCATGTCATAATTGGCAAATACTTCCAGTTGATTTTGGACTGACTTTGTGGCTTACATCTGACATTTAGAACTGGTAGTTCCCCTCCTTCATCAGGTTTCACTCTCCCAGCAAGCATTCTGAAAAATCTCATTTTACCTGTATCATTTTCCTCCATCATCACCATATTTCAGAATCAGCAAACTCTCCAATTTTAATTACTAGCTCAATTTCTACCATTTTATCCATTCCTGAATATTTATACAAACACAACTTTTTAACTTAACTTCATTTGCTGTTTCATTACTTTAACAAGCAATGTATTTCAGAATCTCAAATTTTCTGTTTGAAAAAGCCATCCAAAAATATTTATGCTTTCTATTACACTTAAAGGCATAGTGATAACATTGGGAGTACTCAGTACATCATGGTTAACAACAAATGAACTCAGAGAGATAGTGTCATACACTTAGATCATGCTCCACCACAGTGATATATCTATCTGAATCTATCAGAGATTGAATAATAATAATAGCATTCTTAAACACAGCTTGACATCTAGGTATCTAGAGGGCTCATCACACATGAAAATATCAGCTTTCTGTATGTAAACAACAACATAAGAGAATCTCTGCAATTCTCCTGAAAGATCTTCAACATTTTATTCTTTAAAATGGGTTAAATCAATCTGTTGACATACAATTCCACGTGTCTTTGTTTTATCCTTTCAATCCAAAATAGACTCTATTGTCCCCTTTGCATTCTTGGTAATCTGACCCATATACTGATTTGATAATAGACTTTAGATCATGTTTCAGAATCTTAATAAAGTAATTTTTTAATTCAGATCCATGGAAGTAAGTCAGAATCTCCTGCAGATAAAGAGGATCATCATACTTTCCAAGGTCGGCTTTTGCTTTCCTGCTAAAATTTTTTATGCTGTTGATTTTCCAATACCAATAGTTCCAACTAATCCCAAGACTTCACTTACATGAGGGACAGGAGACCTGTGAAGTTTGAAGGCGCTGGCACAATATCACTGTGTTGTTTCTTCTTCCAAGTTGCTTGGTAAATTGACAATTGATAAGGTGCCAAAGGGGCATATTAATATAAATACCACAACCCATCAGAGGGTCTCAGAAATCTACTCTATTTTGTTCAGCAGTATAATTTCTATACATAATTTTTGCATTTGAACCATGGGACATTTTTTTGTATTCCTGTGGACATTTCTTAGGTTTCCTTTTGTCATACTTGACAATAGTTATTCTTGTTCATTTGTCTGCCAAAACTGGAGAAAATGATCCCCTTACAGTGGAAAGCACAGAGGTGATTTGCCTTCAGGTTTAAGTGATATAAATATCACTTATACAGATATTTAAAGCAATTGATTTCTTCCATTTTGCTTCCATGTTATTTTATCAATTTTGATATGTAATTTATCCACTGATGTTTGGGTAGAGTAGGGTGAGCATTATAAAAATATTTGCTGTCTTAGAATTTGTCAACTGATTTCATCTTTTCTCTCAAGTTTTTTTAAAAGAGAATTTAAAAAACAAAATGAAACAGAATAAAGCCATTCCAAAAAAAATAATAAAAGTGATATAGGACTTCAAAACAAGATAGCAGGAAATCAGCATACCTACCATAATGCCTCTTGTTATCTTCAAATTAGCTGTTCATACTATCAGACATAAAGAATGGCTCATCTCTGCCAGGCTGTCCTCTGGCCATTGGCCCCGACTTTTCCCTTCCATTCAATTACCTGCCCTGCTCAGCTATCTCCATCTGTTGCTATTCCTGGAAACTTGATCATCTTTATCTGTCTCTAGAATATCCTTCAGAACTCTTTGTAGAGTTGGTTTGGTGGTCACGAATTCTTTCAGTTGTTTTTTATCATGGAAGTATCTTATTTCTCCATTAACTTTGAAAGGTCTGGGTTAGAATTTGTTTTCTTTAAGGACTTAAAACACTTCACTCCAAGCTCTTCTTGACTTGTTAGTTTGTGTTGAGAAGTCAGCCATGATTCTGATGGGTTGTCCTTTATAGGTGATCTGTTTCTGTTCTCTAACAGTTTTTAATAGCCTGTTCTGTTGAATTTCTGGGATCTGATTATTATATGATTATAGCTAGTTGAAATCTATATTCCTCACTTATTTGGATGTCAGGTCTGTTTCCCATGCTTGGGAAGTTTTCTGCTCTTATTTCTAAAAAATAGTCTTTTTACATTATTTGCTTTGAGCCCTGCTTTTTCTGTTGACTCCTATCAGTCATAAGTTTTTCTTTGTGTTGTATTGTAGCCATTGAATTGTTATTTCCTGTTTCCTTGTTATTTTTAAGAGATCTTTCCTTTCACTACCAGTATTTGCAATCCCGTCTTCAAGGTCTGAAAGTCTTTCTTCAGTTTCTTTCAAGCAGTTTTACCAGTTTTCAATGGAGTTTTTAATTTCCTGAATATTCTGAAAATGTTGACACTTACTGTTTGCTGTTAGTGATGTTCCCTTTCATAGTTATTCTTTGCCTGTTCTCATGTGGTTTTGTCCCACGGCACAGTATAGGAACACTCAGGCAGTCTATGCTGACTTGTAGCACTCTCATTCTAAAGTTTCTTCTTCTCTGGTGTCATACCCTCCACATTGTGGCAACCTTCACCTTTCTGAGCATCCTTTTGTTTATTTAAGTAAGGATAACTCTCATTTTATGTTTGCATTCTGAGCTTCTATTTTCCAGACGATTTTTCCAAGAACAAGTTGCTTTTATAAGACAGCTTACATCATTTCTTTTCAATGAAATTATAATCATATATTATTTGTCTCCCAACTCCTGGTAGGTAAGTTTCAAATACTTAATTCAATTTTCTCATTGTTTTTGGCTGAAACATGGGTTTTCTTGATTGTTCTTCTGTGGTGTCTATGAATCTTGTTACATTTCTTTACACAATCACCTTTACCTTTGTCAATTTCATCTCTTGTTGTTTTTCAGTTTGCTGTCTGCTAGTATTTTATTTTTTTCAAAATGTGTATTTACATGAAGCTTTGTTTTTCTAGTTTCTTAAAGTAAGACTAATTTTTTATTTTTACTTTCTATTCACTTCCTTTATGACTGTTTAATGATAAATATTCATCTCAACACTGTTTTTGTAGTTACTTAATGCATTTTCTTTACCAGCTAATTAGAAATACTTAAAATTTTCTCTTTATATTTCCTCCTATGAAACTGTGTTTAGGAAGAAGCCTGGTAACTGACAGAGGTCTAATTTTGCATGTTTAAGTAAAGTTTTGCATTATTTCAAGGGATCATCATTTTGGCCTGGGAAGATAAATAAATGTGTTGCTTTCTTATCTTTTTGGAACTCCCTGCATGTATTAAATTTCAAGCACACAATTATGATTACATTTGAAACTCTCAGGCCAAAATCTGTAGCAACTATATTAACATAGTCTCAAAATCTGCACATGAGGAAAGGAGCCCCAGTGGTGAAGTGATTTGTGGGCACCTAAATTATTTCCAGATTTAGAGTAACTCCCAGGGGGAAAAAACATAGTTCCTGTGGAGCTCGAGATATGATTTTGTAGGATTCAGGATGCATCAAACAAATAAGTTTCTAATAATTTCTTTTTTTTAAATCGGTACAGGGGATTGGTCTCACTTCTTGCAAGGCAGGGGCTTATGCCGCTGAGCTAAATCCTCAGCCCCCTCTAATAATTTCCTAAAAGGAATTATGAGTGTTTTAAATCTTGTGTTTTCCTCAAAACATCTCACAAAGGTTCTTGATGTGATAGCTGTTGAAACTGATAGCTTGTCTGATAGCATCATCCAGGCTAAAAAATCTGGATGATGATAATTCCAGTTTTTTTTTGCTGTTGGTAGATAAGTAGGTCTTGGGTTTCTTTTGCAAACAGGACCTGTTCTATCTACCTTTTCATTTAGGAGATAATTCCAGTTTTTCACATACAAATTCACTTATACAAATGATTGGTTTTTTTTATACTGTCATATTATTGAAGTCCTTGTAAAATGGTATTGAACATATGTTTATATGTTATTTATTTTTTTCCATTTTAGAAACATGTTCAAAATCAGATATAGAAATTGAAAATGGGTTCCTCTCTGAATCTGACTATCTTTATGTTTTAAATAAAAAAACACAATTTAAGTGTAAACCAGGATATTTAACACCAGATGGAGAAACCTCAGGACAAATTACATGTCTGGAAAATGGATGGTCAGATCAACCCACTTGCATTAGTAAGTAATTTATCATATTAGAGTAAATATTTTGATGGTGTAAAAATGAATTGTATTCTTTCTTGGGCTGACTTATGTGTATTCATCTGAAGGGTAAAAAAAAACAGAAAAAATATGCATCAGTATTTTATCCTTTTAGAATTAATTACAAGTGCTGTTTGTCTCTCCCCCCCTTTATCACTTTAAAGCATCTTATGATTTAGGAACTAGTTAGGGAGCTTTGTGTATATTCTAAGGTATGCTCATTTACTTTTTTTTGTTGTTGTTGTTTTTTCTTTTTTATCGGTACCAGGGATCAAACTCACAACTGCCTGCTTGCAAGGCAGGTGCTCATGCTGCTGAGCTAAATCCCCAGCCCCTTCATTTACTTTTAAACTAGACCTTTGTGTTACTGCTTTTTATGTCACTCACCCTTTAGATATAAAAGTAATGCTTTTGGTAAGGATGTGGGTTTGTGACATGTAATCTTATAATAATTTATCCTTTAGAACACAATTATAAGCATACTTCTGAACACTCTTCCTCTTAATCTTCATAAACATATAGATATTAAAAAAGTATTTCTAGATGCTATCCATTTTTGTTGTGTTGGAAGATTTTCCTGCCATCTAAACATTAATGAAGATTTTCTAAAATTGATCAGTGTAGTTATCTCATTTATACCTCATTATTGATAAGGTGGTTATATTTAAATTACTTTAAATAAAGCAGATATTTAAGTTTTCCACTCCTACTATCTTAATTTATTTTCTTTAAAATTTTTTTCTGTGGTTCTTATAAGTTCTAGCTAAAAAAAAGCAATAAAAGTCACACCCATGTAAAACTCACATACATTAAATTGATTATGTATTGTGTTTTATTATGAAGCAAAATGTATAATAAATGCAACAACCTTTTTATACAATTAGCCTTTTAAAATATTTTTCAGTAACTATTAAGACTGGTATCTTAATTCACTATGTACTACTGTGATGTTCTAAAAAATTTAAAAAGAGTAATATGTCTGTAATGACTTGTTTTATTACCAGTGTGGATAAACTCAAAAATATAATTGAATCCAGAAAAATGTTTTCAAATAAATTTCTCAGAGAAGGTTAATTCATGAGGAAAATGTTATGTAATAATGTAATTCTCATTTTTAGTAACTATTTTAGGACAATGATTTGTCATCAGCCTTAGATGATTTTTATATTGGGTTATTAGCACACAGTGTTGGGCATGGTGTCACACGCTTGCAATCCTAGCACTTGGGAGACTGAGGCAAGAGTATTGCTGTGAGTTCAAGGCTAGCCTGCACTATGTAGTGAGACACTGTCCCCCCAAAAAATTTAGTAGCACACAAAATGAAAAGCCTTTTGTTTTTGTGGTGGGTATTTCTTCAGTTATTCATGAATTACATCAGAAATGAAATCTTGAATTTTATTATGCATCAGAGTCTTGTGAATTGCCAGTATTTGAGAATGCTGGAACCAAAAACAATCGTACTTGGTTTAAAGTCAATGACAAGTTGGACTATGAATGCCATGTTGGATATGAAAACAAACTTAGACGTGCCAAAGGTTCCATAAGATGTTCTCACACCGGATGGTCCGACACACCCACATGTTATGGTAAGTACTGACATTTTGGGAAGATGTTTTCTTTGGGATAAAAATCTGCATGTTTCAATTTTTAGAAGATTAAATTTTCTACAGATGTTTTTAGAGAATAACAATGGAAATCAAAATGTTTCTTCTGAATTAACGTAAACTAGAAAGAGATGGTGCTTTGCACGTGAGATACGACGATCCGTTGATTAGAGCATAATTGTTTCGTTATCTTGAGTGCAAGCTGTTCAATTATTTCCAAGGCAGTATCCATTACTAAAATTTTAGTGTGTTAGAACTTCCTATCGTATTTTGCTCCTGAGTTTCTGCTTAAATTTTCCACCTTAATTTACACAGTTCCTGAAAATAAGTATATTTTTTTAACTTTGACAACTTATTAGAGACTATTACGTAATTCTCTCTCACGTTTGCCAATTAGTTGTCTGTTTTCTAAAATTAAAAGAGGGCTTGAATATTGGGGAAATGAACATCTGTAGGCTCTTCCAGTCCAAAACATTAGCATGTGCAATCTTTGAAAACAATATTGAGGAAATGTAAGACTGTAAATTCTAGGCAAGATTGGAAGAAGTTTTTGAACTGAGACTAGTTAAAACTCATAGGAAAGTTTATTCAGGTGAGTACATAGTATGTGAATGGTTAGGATTCACTTTGATGAAAAGCCTTAAAAATTTTTAAGGAAGGAAATTATTTAATTTGGTAGATTTTAAAGTTTGGGGAATTTTCTTCAGGATGCCATGCTTTGATGTGCAAAAGACACCACAATGAGTTTGTGTGGGGTAAGAAAATTGGGATAAGTAGAGTGAAAGCTGAGGACCGACTTGGAACACATTTTGGTGGTAGCTTGCATAGGTGGTGGTACCAAGTATTAGTGAAAGAAAGGGTGGGAAGTCAAGGAATCCAGTTGCTAGTTTTCATAAACATATGGGTGACTGACAGTGACTGACACCACTGAAAGCTGGTGCTGACAAAACAGATCAACTTTGGGGAAGATATCACAACTTGTGACTTGAGCAGTCCATAGACAATCAAAATTAGACATATAAAAGTAAAGGGCAGAGATGGATACACAGAACTGGAGCCTGGAGATGCAGACTGGAGATTGTCACCATCTAAACAAAGACATCAAATTGAAAAAGAAGAATAGAATAAAAAGAAAAGAGAACTTGAAATATTGCAACACTGACATATTAGAAAGTAGAGATACAGTTTAAAAATTACATCAAAAAAAGGGGACCTAGGGATAAAGGAGAAAAATATCTAGGAATGGATATTGTTACTGATATGGGGAAAAGACAATTCAAAAGAAAAACAGCTATAAAAGATTAGTGGCCAGGGGATATAACTCAGTAACACAGTACCTGCTTGGCAAATGTAAGGTCTGGAGTTTGATTATTAGTACAAAAAAAGGAAAGATTAGTTAATAAGAAAACCTGTGGAGTTACCCTGTCTTGATTCTAATTCCAAAGCCACCACTTGCTAGCAGGCTTATTGGAAGCATTGTTAAGTCATCCTTATCTGTATGATGTGTTAATATTTATAATATTTCAATAATTCAAAGGATTTTTCTGGTAAGAAGTTAAGTAGTCCTTCTAACTCTTGCCAAGAACTTGTGAAGATAATAAAGCCTAGCAAATTATAATCTAATTAAACTATCATGCTAGTTGGGGTGGTAAATATGTCTGACTGAGAAATATGTTAGTATTTGCAGCTAGAAAACTGAAAAAAAAATGTGATGATCTGGGAATATGGAGGCCAATACTAACTAACAGACAACTTTTAAATAGACTGGAAAAGGCACAGCATAAAGAGAATTTGCTTAAAAGGTAACAATAATTAGCAAGAAATGTAATACAGCGTATGGACGTATTTCTTCCAAGCCAGTTGGCCAGGCAGCAAATAGGAAGTTAAAATTACAAGAGGAAATTGTGCACTCAAGGAAGAACTTCTTTAAAGGGGACAAATGTAAGCAGTCTGAATGCATAGAGGATGTACAATAAAAAGGAGCCAATACTGAACACACAATTAGTAACTGAGAAAACAAGCAGGAACGGGAAGCAGAGCACCGCTTAGAAGTACTGGGATTTGATGGCACCAGGACTCCTTAACACTTCATAAAAGTAGAAGAAAGGAAGGAAAGAAAAATAGATGTATCTATCTAATCAAAACCTACTGGTTTCTGTCACATTTTGAAGTATGACACAAAGTTCTCTGAGACTGAATAGTGCCTGAGGGAAGAGATCAAAGATTTTAAAATAGTAGCAGCAGAGACCTTGAGATTTGACTCACAGCATCAAGGGCCCACTAAGATTAACTCGTGCAGGATGAAAACACTCCTTTACAGGACAGGGGAAAATGAAAAGCACAAATATGTTGTCCTGTCACCAGTTCAGACAGGGGATGTTCTTTTGAGACTCTGGAGGCTTAAAGAATTGCCAAAGAGCTTTAGTATCAGGTCCTGACCTAGATCCCTAATCTCCCAAAGGCTTAAATAAATGCTCCGCACTTTAGCTGAGTTCAAGACTCTGAGAGCTAAGACAAAGACTTCTCTGGACTGCCCATTTTTATTAGGTCCAAAACAAAAGGTGGGGAAACTGAGGAAAGCACAGGCAATGAGCGGGACCTTCAGAGTCACTTCAAGAATGTCACCAAGTAATGAATCATGTCAAGTTAGGAGAACTGTCTTGTCTCTGTGATGACATGGTAGGAGTAATTCCTACAGCTGCAGTCTCTATCTACTTAATTAATGTCTGAGCCAAGTGTCCACAGCTGTGGCCTTATCTTGCCCTTTAAGGTATCTCTGGCCTCACAGGCCACTACAGGCCTCAGCCAGGACCAGTGATTCATAGAGGTACACTTACTATGAATCAGCCCCATTTCCAGGCAAGGGGCCTAGGACAGATTCACAGATAAACATAGAAAGCCAATTAGTTATTTTAAATCCTGCTCAGAGCCCCTTAGTAGTGGTCCCCAACACCCTGGAAATGTCTGACACACAGCACCTCAGCTCAGTCTTTCAACCAGTCTTCAGCCACCCGGCTGCTGCTGTGTGATCTATATCTACAGTGGAGTACATAATAGAGGTTATGACCTTGAAATTTATTTACACTGAGACCTCGAGCTGTGCTTGCAAAAGAGTCCTGCTGACTCAGGTCTTCCTGTAACTGGAAATCACCCCTCCCACACTGACTAAATTACAGTGCAGCCATCTTGGGCCTCTTTTTTCCATACACATGGGTCTACCTTCAGAGCTTTCATTCTAGTATAGGAGAAGAAAAATATAGTTTAAGGAAGGTGGCTGAAGTTCTGGTTCTGGGCTTATCTTGCCTGACTCCAAAATGGCTTCCATCCAATCACCCTCTCCTGCAGGAAGACGGAGTCCTCTACACTCACCACCAGCCAGTGCAGTCCTCCATGTCCGCTGCTCCCCTTCACCACTGCATCTCTTTGCAGAGGCCTTCAGCCTTGCCAGTTACCTCCGTCAGTGTGACCGTGTGTCCCCAGGTTTCAACAGCTCCTCTCACATGGCAGGTCTGGCTCCATGTGAAGGCTCTGCCAGCTACCACCTTATTCTTTAAGTTTTTCTTCCTTTCTCCCATCATCTTCCTTTCTTCTTGTCTTCCACGTGATGCTGTATTCTAGCATCTGGACTGTTTCTCTCAGAGAAGCCATTCTATCTACTACTTACTCTGTCATCTTCCCAGAAGTCCCAGAAGTTTGAATTAAACCAAATAATAAACAAGGCATGTAGGTGGTTTAATATGCTTTACATATCTCTGTGTTCAATAAAATAAAAAGATCTAAGATATAACAGCAAACAGGAGAGAACCGATGCTCTTTAACATGCAAAGGCAAGTTGTTCAGAAAATTCAGTGATCTTAAAACCAGGAACTATACTATAATGAGGAGAAAGATATTTGATGACATTGGAAAAGTAAGTGAGCATTAGATTACAAAATGTTTGGATATTGTTCTAAGTGAGAAGGATAGCTTTTAAGATTATCATTACTTTCTCTTTCTGAGTATAAGGAAATCCAGATTTTTAGGAAGCCAGAAGCTAATACTGTTTCCCTCTTCCAGAAAAGATTGGAAAGCTGCAAAATATAAAATAAAGGAAATGCAAAATGATTCTCATGACATTTTCTATTTCCAAACATGAGAGAAAAATGTAAAGAAAGACAAAAAATAGGAGTGACTGTGTCATAAACTGATACAGAAAAAAACGACTTTTTATTATAAATTTTGCAACACATAATGACCATGTGAACACATAACTAGGAATTTGACAGCACAATATAAGGCTCCTGAAATTCAGTATACAAATGACTGAGTATCCTTGTTTTAGCAACATAGCAGAAACTATAAATAAATGGAGAAGGAGCAGATCCAGATAGCTGCTTTTCCTCTAGAAGAATGATCTGTAAAGCAAGAGTAAGTAGGTGCCCCTGTCAATGTATGGAAATGAGTGACCAGGAGAGTAACAGAAGTGTGAAGGAAAAATTTCAAAAGAGGGTTTTGCAATTATCTATTGTGATTATGGACTATTCCTAAGAACTACGCAAATGCTACCTGCTAGAATATGGCATTTTGGAGCAAGATCTCTCTTTGTTGAGCATCTAGTGGTACTACAATAACAGCTGGATCATGTCCAAAGAGCTGAATGCTCTATTTCCTCCCATAATCACTATTTTTGCTATTTGTTCTACATATCACTAGAGAGGTGTTACTAGTTGATTTGGCAAGAACAACCATTCCATAGGAGGAAGAATCTCATTAATACACTGCCCTGCGTTTCTCTAGAAGATTGATGGATCTGTAACACAAATAGATAAAGAGGTTGAGTAGCAACAACTCTAGAACACTGCCTAGAATGCAGACATTTCTCGATTAATTTCAGTTCTTACGTACCTGCTTCTGTGAGATGCTTGGTAGAATTTAAATCTTTGTCACCTTGAAGAAAATTATATAAATTTTGTAACTGATAGGTTACTATGACTAATTTTGGC